AAACAGCTTGAGTCAGCGTGACAGCTGCTGGACTCTGAGGCCAGAACCGTCTTACGCTCGTGACTTCGCAGCCAAGCTTGCAGACATGCCCTGAAAACAGGATCGAAAAGAGAAGAGCTGGTGGTGGCACAGTGTCCGACCCTTTCTGACAATGGCTGGCTGGTTCACGTATTTATAGGGCCCTATAGGGCCAATGGCCCTATAGGGCCCTAGTTCCCTCAAGCAGCTTATGTACAGTTGACGCTCAGTTTAAACCCTCAACCTCAACCCTCAACCCCTCAACCCTGATTCGTGAGAGCTCTCACAGTAAATGGCGGCTCAGGAAGCCAAGGCAGGAGCTCGTGTATCCATTTGATACTGCCAGCACATCTGCATGGGCAGTAGAGCTTGCCGGCCTCAGAATTCAGAGTCGTGACCACTTGCCATCAGATGCACCAATGACAAAGTTGCCGCTTTATGCCATGTGTGCTTGCAATCATGCTACAAATCCAGTGCTTCTGCCACTCCAGGCCTCTTCTCCCTGTCGGCATATCCGGCAGCAGGGTTCGTCCTGAGAAGCGTTACGGGCTTGGGACTTTTCCACTGGACAGACGGCTGCAAGCAACAAGCAACCGAAGTGCAGCAAACGAATCACCTCATCCTCTTCAAGATCATCCTCTTCGTGGCGGCTTAAGCCTGCTTCGTTCCGTCAAGGGCACGAGCCAAAATTCAAAAGGATTCGCCTCGACCTCGACCGTGAGGCATCAGAGGGTTTTCTTTCAACACGATCTAAATCCCCTCTGAACATGGCCCCCACCCTCCCCGCTTTTCGGGTTGGTCATGTAGAACGGATGTACGAAATCCCTCCTTCCACCCCCCCCCTCACCCCCCGCCTCCCCGAAACCCTGGCCACTGAGTCGACTGGCGGACTCGGCATGGACGGTATCAAACCATCTCCAAAACTCCAAAAACCTAAAACGCCTCGGCACGCCGGGCCGGACCAAGGTGGGCGACACACAGAATGTTTAACCCAAGAAAAAGAAGCATGGCCGTGAAATACTGAGCTGCACATCCAGCAATGGGCTGCCTCCAGGTGTCTCTGCTGGAAGCTCCTCCGAGCGAAACGGTCAGCAAAATATGCGCAGATTGCAAGGTCTTTCGGTGACATTTGCGGGGCGCCTCCACCATATCAGCAACGTCATACCCGTCCACGTCGTTCAAAAGTACTGTCCGGAAACATCGTAACAGAAGGTTAACTAACTTGAACCGAACTTGGTGCCTTGTTGAGGTCATATGACTGCAGCAATATGTTACAAGTCTGCAACTCAAGGCTCGCTAGGATATGCTAGGGCTGAGTTCGTGGCTGGTGCCAGTCCGGGTTGCTTTAAGTTGCTAATGTTTGTGCGCGATGCTTGTCGCTCGCCTTCTTGAGTTGGCTTTCAGAAATCAGCTTGAGCAAGCCGGAAGGGCAAATACACACGTTGGGCAGGACACGAACCATGAAAAAGGTGCCTCCTTGTGTGATCTGAGAAATGACAGCTTGATCCATGCATCGGCCAATGATTATGCGTCAGCGGCGCTAGGCAGTGTTCCTTTCAAGGGGGGTTCCGTAGTGAAGGAGAGGAGAGCCAACGTAACACCTTCTCATGCTCCAAGTTGCAGGCATCTTCCCAGAAAGTGGATCACAGATCCCAGGCTACTAGACCGCTCGAGTCGTCTAGAGGTCTTCTGCGCAAGTCAGGACGGGGTTTTTTTTCATGCAACGCAAGGGCATCTGACCAAAGCTGGCGCAGCAGCACAGCGATGCTGTCTTCAACCTGAGCACACAGAGACTGAGGAAAACCCGAGGAAGTTTGAAAAAGCTTCAGGAATGCTTCTGGGAGTTTAGGGGTTTTTTGTGGGATGTTTATGGTTGCTTAAGGAACTTGAGGGATGTGGAGGGCTTATGGTTGTTCTGGAATCATGATGCTCAGAAACCCACGCCCATGAGCCCTTCGTAGCAACTAGCAGTGCCCAGAATCTTTGCAAACCTGGCCTCGAAGTCCTTTGTGCTGTACAGCATTCTGTTTCCATACTTGGCAATGTTGGATTGAATCCGCTTGACCTGATCAGAGGCGATCCGGCCTAAGACAATAACAGGGTCCAGAGCGCCGTCCATGAACAGTAGCCGGTCCAAGACCACAAATGCTGCATCGTGCCACCCATCCCACTGAATGGGGTATTGCAGGGCCTGAGCAGGGCCGAAGAAGACAGGGATGCATCCACTTGCATATGAGTCAGAGACGGACTTCCGACCAATCGAATCACCAATGGGCTCCAGACAGAATATTGAGTCTTGCTTGAGCGCGATCATAGCCTCGATGTCTGTGTCTTGAGTTCCTGCACAGACCAACTTGCTGCCTTCCTCGTATACGCGACACCAGTGGTCTATCTGAGAACGCACGCCAAAGTCGCCGTGATTTGTTCTTCCAATGAAGGAGACTAAAGTCGTTCGCCTGTGGTCCTTTACAACAGTCTCCAGTGAGGATGGATATGGGGTAGTATACAATCGAGGGTACTGCTTGGGATCGTAGATGCATTTCTGAGTGTTCTTCCACTCGCCTCTGCGCGGAGCCATCGATAAATGATTCTGGGTGACCAGCGGCTGGTACTGCGACAGCTGCTCGTGAGTAAAGCCAACTTCTTGGGTTACCAGCGCAATATCTTCGAACGGTTCCCTGGGCCATGAGAGTATGCCCTCACATCGCGCGAGGAACCAGAAGGCCGTCGGAGCAACAATGAAGTGCTTGTGCGAGGTGCTCCTATTCAAGAAAACCAGCTTTTCCAGAAGCTCCTTCAAGCTTCCCACGACCGCGTCACAGGCCGGAGCCCATTTGGAGACGCCTTGCGGAGATAGCAGGAGGGGAATGAAGAAGAGGTCAGCTTCCTCCGCAGTCTTCGCACGGCAGCGTCGGGATTTCTTCAGCCGGTACCAGAAGATGAGGGCTGTCCGAAACTGCTGCAGAGAGATGGCTCGAATGTGCCTCTTCCTTCTTTTCGCGCTGGGCTTGCCAAATGCCACGTCCAGGCTCACCGTCTTGAGGTCCACGTCCTGGAAGGGCTGCTTTTCCAGGTCATATGTGTACACCTGACAAGGCCAAAAACAATCTGCCCAACGTGAGGCATCGACTTATCCCTGGAATCACACCCGCAAGAACTCTCATTGCAGCCCGTGCGGTGCTGAGTTCTGAAGCTTCATGCTGCACATGTGATGCTCAGTGGGTTTAGGTTGTGACTTGGCCGGTCCCACGCCGTACCAAGTAGCAACACTGGCACATGCACTGCAGACGCGTCAACCTTTCGAAGTTCTTAAAGTTCGCCTTGGGGCAAGCAGTCGGATCAGGGACTCGCAGTGGAGGCTGCCGGGGCAGAGGCGGAACGGGCAGCAGTCCCCACACGGAGTCCTGGAAGCAGAACAGAGACCCGAAAATCCTCTTAGAGAGAATGCAACCAAAGCACTAGCAACATCATCCCACAGCAGACGGAAAGTTGCACGTGTCTCAAGTTCCTTCATCGCACGAAGGCTCTCCTTCTTGCCACAAGCATTGTGCGGTATGGCTTTGCCCTGCTACCGCGGTCTCTTTGAAACGAGGTACGGAAGACATGGGCCCGTACGGAAGATATTTCCCGACCGCCAAGCATTCCGACCATGACCAGACTTACAGGCCCACTTGTGCTGGTAGTCGGTGTGCCGACACTGCAACTGTTGAGAGACTCCGATTCCCCAGAAACTCCCAGTCTTCGTAGGGTGTCTCCCAGGTACCCCCCCCTCGCCCCCACATGTAAATGTCAGCTGGGACTGGCGGATCGAGGTTTTTCAGGTTTCAGGGCCCTAGTGGCCTTTGGGGCTCTCTTTGCTTGGCTTGTTTACGTTCCGAACCTGCCGTTCACCTTGTTTTAGATTCAGGGCTTGACACTGTGGATCTGGCACAGGGCTTGTGGGCAGTCAGGCTAGAGCGTTTGGTGATGTGTCAACCTGAGCCAGTATGTAGATGCATTGCGACCCTTGTTTGCTGCTTAGGTGTGGGTATCGCTGCGTGTGCTGCTCTGCACAATATCTATGCATATCTATGTACACCAGTCCTTGCAAAGCCTTAGCCTGGTGACCCCAAAGGACCAAAATCAGATGTCGGAATTAGTACCCCGAAGCTACATGCACAAAGCAGACAAACCCTCCTTGAGATTCTGATTTGCGTTGGTCTGTGGCAGAAAGACCTGACTTGTAGCGAGGTCACTTGCTTCTGCTGTGGCCTCTAGCACTTGCTGCTCCACGGCGTCGCTTCTGGAATTCTGCGCCGCGGCATCCCATGGTCGGACAACGACATCACCCGCAACAGCACTTGTGGTCGGGGGATGCCCAGGCTCCGCGGGCTCCGCGGGCTCCGCGGGCTCCGCGGGCTCCGCGGGCTGCGCAGGTTCCGTTCCGCTAGCTCTGATTCCCTCAGCAGAGATGCCACGTGCTGCCAGCAACGCGTCAAGGTCTGGCATAGTCCCGGGTTGCTGCATTGTACTTGCATAGAAGACGCCAGACAAGAAGGACACGACCGATATGGTCATCATGCATAAGGCAGTCCGGGCAGTTGGCATGGCACTGCCATCAGCTAAGTCCTAGCTACCTCATGTAGTATACCCCGAGATCCCTCCCCACTCGTGCCATCAAAGCCTGCCAGGCAACAGATGTCAACTCTGAATGGAACGCTGGAGGAGTGAAATGTTAGAGTTCAGGCTGTCAAATACTCGAAAAAGCTTTGCAATCTGCGAAGACGATGGAACACCCCGAACCCATTTGACCGATGCTCGGGGACAAGGTTTCGATGTCACTACCGGTAGCAGAAACAAGCGGCAGATCTCGCCTCGTCTCCAACGTGGGTTGATGTGGCACATGCACAGCCTTGCCTGCAATCCCCGAGGCTTCTCAACTCTGTTTGCACCCAGCTGCGCTTTCCCAAAAGGCTCCGGCAAACGAATCCGACGCAGCCAACTCATGGCAAGGGCTGCCCATCATCGCGGTAATCCTCCGAGTCAAGTGCTGTAACATTGGTCTGCGGGCCCATGCGGCAACCCTTCCCAGCCATCACAAACTGCTTGAGTTCGCCTCCTTCGGCAGCAACCTCCTTGTAAGGATGCCACTCGATCGTCATCTGGTCAATGACTCTCTCGCAAAGCAGTTGCTTGTTCATCATTGTCTGCAGAACCTCGTACTCGCTGCCTTCAATGTCCATCTTCACAAGTCTTGGACCCGGTGGGGCATGCATGTTTAACACTTCCAGCCAGGTGGGGAAGTCAAGCAGGGGCACGGTGAATGCAACATTGGCTTTTGCAGCGTTGGGAAAGTTGATGGCAAAGCGGCTGACAGCCCAGTCGCTTTTGGCATTCTTGTCGGCATTTGGCTTGCGGTTCTTGTAAAACACCTCAACTCAGGCTAGCACCTACCACAGTAACCACAGGCTTGCACATAATTACTAGACAATACCCTCCTGGTCGTCCTTTGAGTCAAGTGTCTCGCTCTCCACTGGTGTTGCCCACAGCAACATTCAAGATCTTCCTCAGCGGGCAGACCAGCCAGCAAATGCAGTTGGTACAGGTGGTGCCGGAGCCGCAGTAGCTCAATGCCAACCCAGCACAAACATGGTCCACCAACCCTAAACCCTAAACCCTAAACCCTAAACCCTAAACCCTCCTTGCCCCTCAGATTACAACACTGTTTCAAGCGTCACCCACCATCCTTTCGCCGCGTAAGCCTTCTCGATTTGCCGGTGGGTTTTTTTCCACCTTGCTAGGGGGATCTTGACAAGGCGTAACAGGCTTCTTTCTAATCATGCATTACATGTTCCTCCAAAGCCAAGGCATGTTTTCGTCAGACTGCGCCGAGAAAAAGTGTTGCCAAACCGTTCTTACAAGCTAATCTTGCCTCGAGTTCGCCTCAAAACCAAATGCGCATAAGCCCGTGACGGACGAAGGTTGTGTGCGGTAGGTGCCGGATCCAAAGAGCTTGTCGAAAATAGGAAGATATGGGGACTTTTTGTACTTCTTTGGTTCGAAGAGCTTGCGGATGTGCGTGGCGCGGTTCGCACCCAGGTCCAGAAAGATCTTCCTGCAAGCAGCAAACTCTGAGGGCCTGGGCCACCCATCCGTCCCATCCATCTCGTGGCCCGAGCTGGTCAGTGTGCTTCGTGTGAGTGGTGCCGCCGGTGCTGGTGACGCTGGTGCTGGTGTTTCTGCCGCCTCCGCATCCAGGGCATTCGGTTCGTCGAGCGAAGGGCCTTCAACCATTCCAGCCTCAAGTTCTTGCGCGTTGCCTTGGCCTGTGCTCGTCGCCATTGGTACGACCTGTGATCCCGTGACTTTGACAGGTTCCTCACGATGAGGGCAAGGACAACAGCTGCTGCTCGTCAAAGGTGCATTGGACCTGAATATCTCGAAGAAGGCAGATGCAGAAATGAATCCACAAAGCCAGTACTTGGCCCGAAAGTCCATGTTCAGACCTGCGGAAGTGGAATAAGCAACAAAAAACATTGAACATGGAACCACGTTTGAGGCAACGAGCAGAAACCAGTCATTTTCTCTATTTGCAGGCCAGACTATGTAAGGATTACGTTGCCGTTGCCAAGGGCCTGTCGACTTCATGTTTGATCATGCCTGTCCTCGTTCAAATCGCATTTTCAGATCCAGCCTCAGACTTCTTGAAGAAGAATCCACGGGAGCCACTTCTGCAGTGTAGCTGCAAGCTGTCCTGCACCGACACCACATGACAAGCAGCACGCTTGCTTGCGTTTCGCCGCAGTCCTCTACAAGACGGGTGAACTTCACAGAGCCGCTGATTCGGCCTTGAACTCCGAGAATCCCGCACTCTGGGGGACTGAGTTTAAGACATTTAAAAGACAGTTCCCTGAGTGCTCCACGTGGATACCGCAGTCCGGCGTGAAGCCGCAACATGGGCGCACAAGCGAAGTGCCAGGAGGCAGTGTGACATGTGAATCACTTGTGAATGCGAACTTTGCCAGGAAGCTGCTGCTTGCTACAGAAGGCTTTCTAGCGACAGAGCCTGCCAAAAAATTCGGTTCCTGCCAGTGTGCCGGGTTAGGGGCGATTGGCAGGCGTTTCGAAGAAGGCTACAGTTTTGAGCCGAGGAGCGGCTCCCCCGAAGTGCACAAACAATGTCTCCACAACGCGCGAAAGGACCCCATAGGAGCCATGGCCCAAAGCCGCGCTGACCAAAAAACCTGCAGAATGCAAAGTAACACTCACCATGCTTTGTTTAACCACTGCTTCTGAGGGCGGCCCGGAACAAGGCTAAATGGACAAAGACTGAGGCTTGCTCTTGCGAGTGGACTTGCCCTCTGAAGCTGTCAACTTCCAAAGGAAGGAAAATGTTCATGCTCATTCGAAGCAAAGCAGACGAACGCAGTCAGAACGTACTGAACTGTTGAGAACGAATTAGAAACAACAGCGTGCCAAGTGAATAAATACCGGCAGGAAAACTGTGGGGCCCTACATGCACCAAAAAAAATTAGCACCCCGCCTAAAGCACCCAGAAGTCTAACCTCTGTGGTACTTTCACGACCTGCATCTCTGACCTCCAAGGTATACCAAAGTAATGCAAATAGTTTATGAAGTTCCCATCTTCGACGTGTGCATCTGTTGCGCTGCTGGCTACAAACTCACACAGACTATGGGAAAAATAAGAGTCTCCAACTCCACAATAGCGCATGCTTGCAAAAACTTGACTGACCCAAGCGGAAGCCTTGCACATCACTTCTGTCAAAATGACTTGCAACGTAGGCTAGGCGACAAACGTTCACCGTTGACTGTTGACTGCGATGGATCGATTCGTTCATCGATGATGGACCAATCGATGTCGATGGCGACGACGATGATGATGACGATGTGGCATGACGAACCGATCAGCAATTGATTGACTAATGGCAATGATGATCAAGACCATGATGACGCCCAGGCCCATGCCGGATCAGAATCTCACGCGGCTTGAGGCTTCAAGGCTTGAACAAATAGTTGACGTTGTGATGATGATGATGATGATGATGATGATGATGACGATGAGAAGAGTTGTTGGAGGTAGGTAGGCAGGGTTCGGCCCACGGCAGTAACCGTGGTCAGCACACTTTTCCCCCTCCGTATCTCATGGCAGCCTCCGCCCGTCATGGGCCCGCTCAGGTAGAGAGCGTCTTTAGTGCCGTCGTGGGCTTGTAACTAAGGGTAGGTTCCGTTTTGAGGTCCTCTGAAACTGTGTTTTCTCGTAGGCCGGCTGACCGGCAAAGCTGTCATAGAGCGGCAGCCCGCCAACTGCTGCACCGACTCCGAGCGCTCGAGTGTGCAGTTTTCGGCCTCGCTTCGCTTGAGGGAAACTTTCCGTCCTCGCGTCGCTGAGGGAGCCTTGTGGCCTATAGTCTGCTCTGGGTCGCAGTGAGAGTTACAGCCTTGCATTGCTTGAGGGGTGACGCTATAGCCTGTTGCTCACCAAAGATTCCTGCTGCCTCTGGAGGAGCAAATCCCACCGACCCTCAATTGGATTGAGGGCTGTGTGCTTTGGGTGAGTTTGGGTTCCTCGCTCTCTGGCGTGGATAAAACGAAGGTTGAGACCGAAACACGGAACAACGGCCAAGGCACGTGCAGACAGTGCAGGCCAACGTCGCACTGCAAGCGGCATCCTTGCAGTTGTTGACAGGAGTGTCCTTGATCAATAGCCGTGTGCTTGAACCCGAGTTTGCTGGTTTCGGGGATCTGCAAGCTGAGCACAACAGGGTATTCTTCGCAGGTAGAACAGGTCTGGCCCAATCCTGGTGGAACTGCCTGGACACAATACAGTGTCGTGAAGCTCCTTTGCTGGTGCCAGTGAGAATTCCGTTGCCAATGAGCTTGCAGTAGGACTGTGGTGCGGCGCAGTGCAAGTTGCAAAGCAGCTTTTGGTGGCTGCTCCCTGACCGACAGATAGTCCGAGAATGCCTTCTTCGGCCTCGCTCCGAGCTGAGGGCTCGTATGGATTGGTATTGGTCGGGACAGAATACTGATAGGGGATACCCGATCTTCTCGCTTTTCCTATCTGAAGGCAACAAATGTTTATCAGCCTGCCGGACATGGCAGGCCTTCTCTTTTGTATTACATCCACGACTCCTGCAAGGGCTGGGGTCTGTCCGTGCACGCAGACAGGGCTAAACCTTGCAGATGTCTAGGTCCTCGCGGCACAGCCGCTGGAGGTTGTTTGAAGATGTTGGCTCTCACTGTCTGGTGAGTGGTTTGTATGGGCACTTGCTGGGGCAAGGCGGCTCTGGCGTCTGAGGATGGTGCATGTGCTGGCTGCTGTGGTAAGGAAACGGGGACGTAGAAAGGAGCCGGACATGCTTGCCTCCGTAGCACGTGGACGCCGAGCAGAGTATGTGACACTATCTTCAGCTGGAGCCAAATTGCCTCGCCGTGTGACGTGGATGTGGTGGTTGGTCGTGGCCTCACTTATGGCCTAAAAAGCAAATCCGATGGTGTAAGATGTGGTCCTAAGACACGTGGAGCGGAAGCTATACGCGGGGGCCGCATAGAGATAGAGGGCTTGGCAAGGGAACTCTGTCTTGGTGATAACCTGCGGCCTCGCATGTGCTGAGGGCACAATGCCTCGAACTGAACGTCCAGAGCTGATAGCGAATTGCCAAACCAAACGGAGGCTTGATGCCACAACAAGGGCCTGCATAGCTATGCATGCGGAGGGCAAAGTCCGGCCTCGCGACGTGCTGAGGGTTGCAGTGAGAGTGGTCCTAGCTGAGCATGCAACCGCCCGCACAAGCTTACCAACGGCCCTTTCGGGTGGCTACGCCTTGCAGCGTGGAGAAGAAGACTTGCAGCCAAGCATCAAACGGAGAAAGCGGGCTTGGGCTCATCTCTGAGGGCAAACGCCGCAGCTTCAGAACACAGAGATAAAGTGGAGCAGTCGTGTGCCAGACCTTGTTTCATTCCAAAAAAGGCGCAAAATGCGAGACGCAATGCAGCATCGCCACATCACCATTCACTGCATCAAGTGTTAGGCAGCTGTTGCCGCACAGACGCACTCAACGTGGAAAAGATCAATTGCTGAGAACCACGACCTCCACAGACACAATTTGGACTTGTTCTCGCACTTTAGGCTGCGTCTGCCACGGCAGAGCAGTGGGCCTCCGAAGAAAATTGTGCAAGAAGCAGAACAGAGACCTTGCAGTTGCAGAATCCATCAATTGCAAAATCCATGAAACTCGACGTCTCAGCTGCAGTGTTACAAAGTAAACCAAAACCTCTGGTCTCTAGAAGCCGCCAGCATCAAGCGCCAAACGGTTCACAAATATATAGAAGCCGCAAGGGTCAAACGATTCACAACGCTATAGAACAACAAATATTCAGAAAACACACAAAAGCAAAATCAGAGACAAACAAAGAGCCAGAAAAGAGGTCAGGAAGAAATACAAAGCAAACCAAATCAAACAATGGCGACGCGTGACAACCAACAACAACCACACCACAACCGCACTAGAACCCAATCACACCCATAACAAACAACCACAACAACTGCAACCCAGCTAAATTCTTTCAAAATATTTCAATGATTTGTGTCTCAAGACAGTCAATCCGAGGACGACACATTGAAGAAAAACCAATGATGTCTTTGAAAAGACTCTGAGAACAAATTCAGGTTGAGAACTTGGATGTTTTGCCTAACGGCAAAATGGGGGTGCGAAGCACTCTCCCGCTATGTCTGTAGCCTCCGAGGAAAAATTGTCCAAGAAGCGGAACAGAGACCTTACAGTTGCAGAATCCATCAGTTGCAAAATCCACGAAACTCGACGTCTCAGCTGCAGAATTACAAAGTAAACCAAAACCTCTGGTCTCTAGAAGCCGCCAGCGTCAAGCGCCAAACGATTCACAAATATATAGAAGCCGCAAGGGTCAAACGATTCACAACACTTTCGAACAACAAATATTCAGAAAACATACATACAAAAGCAAAATCAGAGACAAGCAAAGAGCCAGAAAAGAGGACGACTACTACTACTACTACTACTACTACGACGACGACGACGACGACTACTACTACTACTACTACTACTACTACTATTACTACTACTACTGCTACTACTACTACTACTACTACTACTACTACTACTACTACTACTACTACTACTACTACTACTACTACTACTACTACTACTACTACTACTACTACTACTACTACTACTACTACTACTACTACTACTACTACTACTACTACTACTACTACTACTACTACTACTACTACTACTACTACTACTACTACTACTACTACTACTACTACTACTACTACTACTACTACTACTACTACTACTACTACTACTACTACTACTACTACTACTACTACTACTACTACTACTACTACTACTACTACTACTACTACTACTACTACTACTACTACTACTACTACTACTACTACTACCTCTACCACCTACTACTACTACTTACTACTA